GATTTTTTTAGTTGATTTTTTTGTATTGGGACTTTTTTAGCCTGACTTTGTTAGCCTTGTTTGGTTTGACTTTTTTAACTTTTGTAAGAAAAAAAATAATTATAATTTAAATGTGATATTTTATCTTATTAACTTATGTAATTAATTTTATCTTTATATGTATATATATATATACATATATATATTTTTAGCGAAAAATCTAAAACCGAAGGAATCTTAACTATCAACATAAATGTGATGTTGTCATCTTAAAAGTTAACAATAAAAAATATTTAAAAAATAAAAAAAAACGTAGAAAAAGTATCCTAGAGAATACATCATACATCCAATAATGGGCTGCCATTAATTTTGATTTGAAAACTCAAAGCAAACAACACACTCAAATTAATGGGTAGAACTATAATTCGAAACTCTTACCAAACGGAGCCTTTATTTCTTTAGGGCAATAATCAATTGTAAAACCCTCTAATTCTTCGAGGCAATAATCAAATGAAAACAATCTCTACTGATTCACAACCAACAATATACAAATGCCTCAACTCAAGAACCAAAAATTCTACTTCTTTAGAGCAATAATCAGATGCAAAACCCTTTTGAAATCGAAACCTTAATTTGTTATGTTTGGAAAAATAACCTATGTTTATTTCAAATCTGTTGAAGGAACTTCAAGAATAGTTTCGTGGGTGGCGGCTGGGCAGTGTGTCCATTAACGCTGGCAATGACTCAGTCATGTCCTCTCTCTCTCTCTCTCTCTCTCTCTCTCTCTCTCTCTCAATGTTTGATTCCACCCAGGGATAAATACACACCTTGAGATTTGATTAAATATGAATCGTCTCTTATAGTTTTGAAAATTACATTCCACCCATTGAGGTTTCTAATTTTATAACAAATCGCCCCTTTTATTAATAAATCATCAAGTCAATTAATAATTTTTAATGATGTTAGAAATATATTTCGATTAATAATTTAGGTAATTTTATTATTATATAGAAGAGTAATTATAAATTTTATTTTTTAATTAATTCTGTTAAATAAAAAATTCTAACAAAGGGGTATTTGTAATTTTTCAAACCACAGGGAATAATATATAGTTTAAGCAAATCTCAAATAGGTGTATTTGTAATTTACCCGATAATTTATTTATTTATTTTTTATCTCCTTCACCAAAACCACGTCACCAAAACGATGTTGTTTTGAAGAGGGTAAAAATTAGTCCTTGGATCACTCTAGTGGACAGGTGCCACACTCTACAAGATCACTTTAGAGGATCACTTAACAGGATCATTCTAGAGGGTCCAACCGCTGTGTGCCTAGTATTGATGGATGAGTATTTCAGGAGTACAGTCACGTACTACTCTATGATATTATGATTGGTGGAGAAGATAGAGTATTGTGATTTTGTGTTGGGTGATTGAGGAATATAAAGAGACATAACGAATGATAATTGGTGAAAGAGTATAGACATATGGTATTTCGAGAGTACTTAATAATTTTCCTGACAGAGATAGGAAGGGAAAATTATTTTCTTTTTGCTCCTCGGCATGCTAATGTGGTACTCTAACTTAGGGGTTATTTGGGAATGATTTAAATAAGTGAATTTATTTAGGTCATACTACCTCTCCATTTTTTGCATATCTTTTTGTAAAAATTTTAAAAAATACACTAAATAGCAAATCACTAACCCCTTAGTTTTTATTAGTTGAAATGGTGGGACCTACCATATTTTTGTCTATTTTTACAAGACAATTGAACAAGTGTTTCTCAATAAATAGTGTGCAACAATATTTCAAGACCACTAAATAACTTCTCAACCATAAGGGCATGATTTGGATATATCATCATTTCAATTAATAATTTTTAATTATATTAAAAATATATTTTAATTAATAATTTATGTAATTTTATTATTATATATAAGAGTAGTTAGATTTTTTTTTGTTGTTGTTGTTGCTAATTCTATTAAATAAAAAATAATAACAATAAAATATCTGTAATTTTTGAAATTATAAGAAGAAATTTGTATTTTAAATAAATTTTAAGGGTGTATTTATAATTTATTTATAGTATGTATAATGTACTAGCATAATACTCATGCAATGTAGGAGTAGGAGTACAGATAAATAATAAAATTTTATTTTTTAAAATTAAATAATAACATAAAATTTGTCTAAAATATATATGAAAAATAATTTAGAATCAATTAAACTTTAATCATTACACTTTAATCATTTCTAAATTAAATAAATAAAGTCTATTCAAACCCATCTCCTAAGATCATTACCTAAAATCAATTTTTCAATTTAAAAATAAATAAATAAATATACACATGTCTTACATAATTTTTGAATTAAACAAACAAATAAATAAAACCTCTTCAAACCCATCTCCTAAGACCATTACCTAAAATTCGTCTTTTCCTAATATCAAGAGCAAATTACAAAAAAAAAACCCAAAGTTTCACGTGGTTTTTAAATTAAACCTCAGGGTTTCAATTGCATCAATTTGAACCCTGAACTTCTACTTTTGTCACAATCTCAACCATCCACCTATCGCTGTTAGCTTGGTTGACGGAAGAAAATTTATATTACATTTTTGGCACTTTTACATTGGCTCATTTACTTAATATTAATAATAAATTTGAACTTTAACACATCATATTAATTCCACCATTTATTTGTCATCCATTAAATCAAAGCCACTCATCATAAATTTACCACATGCTTGAGCACATTGTATCAAAACCTCTTTATACCTCTTTTTCATCAACCTCATCTCTCTCTCTCTCTCTCTCTCTACAAATGCACGCAGTGTCTCACTCTGCCAGTGCCATCTCCAGCCGACGTTTGGAGGATGTACACATCCTCTTTCTCCTCATTCTTTGGAGGATGCACACATCTATCTTCGTCCCACCTTCTGCCGCCACTCTTTTCTTTTCTTACTACTTTACATGTATTGCAGAATATATATATAATATAATATAAAGATCTAAGGTTAAGGTTTTAGGAGTGGAAGAAGAAGAGCAGAAGGAGGAGATGGAGAGAAGAGGCGAGGGCGGTGGATGGCAGGAGAAGAGAAGAAAGAGGAGGCCTACGCTGTTGGGATAGGGGCTACACCCCGATGAATCCCTCTTTTCTACAAAATAAAATTTGAACTCCTTTTAGAATTTGATGGGAATGTGTAATGGTAGCATGGTTGTGACGATGGATAGAAAAGAAAGAGAAAAAAGTGAATCAGCAACTGTAGTCGGAAGAGAATTTTGTGAACCTCCGGCCAGTGCCGCTGCTACGTTGTTCTTTCCTCATTTCGTCTATGGAGATTTGGGGGTTGGAGTGAGTGAGAAGCAAAATAAGAAGTGATTGTGGAGGTGACGTAATCGTTCGTTAATCTGGGTCGGCATCGTTGTCACTCTATTCTTCAATTTATTTTCTTTTGTCATCAATGGAGATTTTTGAGGATCTAAGGCAAGGAGGAGTGATCTCCGATCATCCCTTCTGACGTTACGTGCTACTTCAAAACTCTCCCAAACTAGAGAACCCTTTCTCTGGTGACTTCTCTACTCTCTTACTCTGGTGTGACTCGTATCCCTTCCGATTGGCCCAATCACTCTAGTGCTGTTCTCTCTGAATATATTGTATATAATATATATATATATATACAGTCAATAGGTAGTTGATTGACCAAAATACCCCAAGTTCGTTAGCTATAGCTAATAAAGATGGACGGACGGTTGACATTGTGACAAAAGTAAAAGTTCAGGGTTTAAATTGATGCAATTGAAACCTTGGAGTTTAAATTGCAAAACATGCTAAATCCTGGGATTTTTTTTTTTTTTTGGTAATTTACCCTAAAATCAAATACATAATCATACTTTGTTGACCTTCCAATTTAAAGAAATGAATTAAATATTTATTTGCCCATCTACTAAAAATTTTATCTAAAATCCTTCATTCCCTAAAATAAATAAATAAATAAATATATATAAAGATCAATTCAAATCTATTCATATAATTTTTGAATTTAAAATATAAATAAATAATTTTTTTCAAAATTAAACAAACAAATAAATAAAATCTCTTTAAACCCATCTTTTAAGATCATTGCTTAAAATTCGTTCTTTCCTAAAATCAAATAAGGAAACATAGTTGGTTGACTTTCTAATTTAAAGAAATGAATTAAATAATTATTTGCCAATCTTCTAAAATCTTTACCTAAAATCCTTTCTTCCCTAAAATAAATCAAAGAAAGATCAATTCAAATATGTTCATATATTTCTTGAATTAAAATAAATAAATAAAATTTCTTCAAAATCTTCTAACATCTTTACCTAAAATAATAATAATAATAATAATAATAATAATAATAATAATAAAAAGATCAATTCAAATTGATCATTGCCTAAAATTAAATTTTCAATTTTAAAAATTAATAATTATTCATGTGTCTTACATAATTTCTAAATTAAACAAACAAATAAATAAAATTTCTTCAACACTCTAGTCTCTCAAACTAATTTTTCTAATTTTTTTATTTAAAAAAAATTGAAAAACATATCTAATTGGTTAGCGTGTTAAGAAATAAAATTTTAAATTCAAAATAATGAAAACTATCTCATAATTTTTGGGTTTTAAAAGGAGAGAATCACTACAAGAAAATAGGGCAAATAACACGGAACCATTTGCGACGGCACCATTTACCATCGTAGAAACTCACTTTTTGCGATGGCATGTCGTCACCAATAAATCGGGTTTCAGCGACGGTAGCACTTCCTACCACAAAAAAGCAAGTTTGTGCAACGACAACAACTGCAGTTGCAAATAATGCGCGTTTTTTGCGACGACAACCTTCCCTTGTCACAAATAAAGGCTTTTGGCGACGACAATTCCCCGTCGCAAATAAAAAATTAGTTAAATGATGTCATTTTATTATTTAAATTTTCATTTGTGACAGTAAAATTTGATGTCGAAAAAAAAAAAAAAAAACCCAAAACCTAATTTTCCCTTTGCGCTCTTTTTTCCCCCTTCCAACCAAAAATCCCCAATCTAAAAAATCCCTAATATTTTGAACCAAAATCCCTATCAAAAACTCTTATTACGACTCTCTCTTTTTCTCTATCTCTCTCTCAACTGTGAGTAGCAGTAGACGGCGATGAGCATCGAATCAACGGCGTCGAGCGACAGCAGGGAGCAGTGTAAGACGACATCGAGCAGTGTGCGACGACAATGAGCAGCAAACGACGGCGGCGAGTGATGACGACGGTACGACGTGTCTCTCTTCAACTTTCTCAGTCAGTCTTAATCTTTGAACCAGGTTAGCTCTTCTCCTTCTTCGTCTTCACGTCTCTGCTCTGCTGTGTTAACTAAAATCCTTACTTGACTTCTCCCGTCTCTGTTGTGATCCTTACTTGACTTCTCCCGTCAGTCAATTGATATACTTCAAAATTATTTATACATACTAGTGTCACCTAAGGAATTATGGTATACTTCAATCTTACCCTCAGATCCTAATCATGGAGATAAAGGGACCTCTCAAGGTGACAATTGGACTTAAGGAATTACAGATAGTATTTCATTATGATTGGTAGTATTTCATTACAAATACTGTTTTCTCTGAATTGTTTCCCAATTTTGGGTTATTTGGTTACTTTACAGTGTCAAAGATATTCCAATGTTATGTTTAGGAGATTAACATGTAAGACTTTAATAAGTTCTATTATGGCCATGAATTTGTTGCATTTTCACAAGAATACGCAAGTGCTGTGATCCTTACTTGACTTCTCCCGTCAGTCTAGCAAACTGATACTCATTAAGTATCCTACTTTTCTTATTGTGATTATTAATGTTCTTTCCTATTTTCTTCATTTTTGAAATTTTAATATCCATATGTTGTGGTCCATGGGCTTGGTTCTGTTTTTCTATATTGTGACTAGTATAAACTCTTTATTTTTTTTAGATATTCTTCATTAATTAATATTTTATTTAATTTTAATATTGAAAATGTAATTTATGATTGTTTTTTTTTATAGGTGGTATCCCATTGCCAATATTTTCTGAGTGGTGGTTAGCCAAAGAAAAGTTCTCTACAATTGAAGCATTTATTATATCTTCATTTCCTGGAGCAATATGTCAAGGTTGCAATGGGTTGAGCATTAAATATCAGGTAAACCCATGTGAAGCTTTGGAATGCTTGTTGCATTTTGATATAGTCCTTGTATAAAGGATAAGGAGGGTTACTGTATGTTCTACATTGACCACATGGCTTCTTTAATCCCTGTAGTAATTGATCCCAAAATTATTGAATTGAGCTTTGTATGATATGAGTTGAAAATGGAATTATACATGTACGTATAGTAGAGTTGGTGTTCTGGACTGCACAAACAGATTGGAGTGTTTCATCTCCTATATGCATGTTATTCCCCCCGCCCCCTTTTTTTTTCCAACTTCTGTTCTTTTAGTATAATGAAGAAATTATTCATTATCATAGGTTGCACTTAGAGATGCAAAACAAACAAAAGATGGGGTAGATGAGGAAATTGCTTCCCTCTGGCCTGAACTTAAGGTAAAGAATGCTTCCACATAGGCATTATTAGTTATATTTTATTTGTTTCTATACTTACTTTAAAGGGTCTTACACTAGTGTTGAACATTGTAAAATTATATGCTTTGATATTTTGCTTGAATCAGAAAGTGAAAACTGAGGCTACAACTGCCGTAGACTAGCTTCAGGGAACTGAATATGAAGTTAGAGGTCTTCGTTCAATGACACAAAGGATGGTTTTAACCCAAAGGGAAATGTTATGTACTTGCATTGTTGCCTGGAACCTAATCCTATCATATTTTTTGTATATATTAATTGCAATAGCATATCACACTACAGGAGAAAGTTGTTCTTAAGCGGTGTTGGCTTGCACGTTATTGGGGTTCAGCTGCACGAAATGGTAATCAGCATGTTACATCTCTGTTTTACTTTATTATTTAAAAGCAAAAGTTCATTTTCGTATTCATTTCTTTGTTCATTTATTCATATTTACTCACCCTAAGTAGTTGAGATCAAAGCAAGTCGAGTTCTTGTGTTATGTTATGCTGTGTATTTTAACCTAGATTGTGACTTAATTTACATGATTTAGTCATGTATGGATAACCTTTTTATATCTTTAAATCTTATCTCTCAAAACATGCCATAAAAAGCTTCAAATTTTCCGGACTCTAGATAGTTGCAAAGTACCCTTCTTTTGTTCAAATTCTCCATGTACTAATACCCGTGAGCTTTATATACTTGCAGTATCAATGATATTCACACTTGGGTGTTCCATTTACTCCAACTATCTGCATGTGTCTTTTCATTTTTTTTCTTTCAATTATCTGAATTAACAAGGTCATGTTGATTCCTGTTTGTTTTTTATTTGTTTTAGCTTGATTGATGAAGTTTTCTCATAGTTTTTTCCTCACAAATCAGATTTTATTTAATCACAATGGTTCTTTGTTCTTTAGGTATCTATGCAGCTATTGCAGTGTCAAAACATGAGTACTGGTCAGCTTTAGCACCTCTTCATTTTGAAGTTGTTGTTTCTGCAGGGAAAAAGGCTAAAGAGGCATGCTGGGATAAAGCTTAATGTCATTGTCTTTTCATAGCAGCAAATATTATGATTCTTATTATTTGTTTGATAAAGACTATATTTTCTTTATTATATCATTTCTTTTAATCACATTTGAAGCCTTTGTATCTACAATGCTGAGCAGGCGATGAGAATCTTGAGAGGAGCAAACTAGTTCAGGACTCGAACGATCTTACTGGAGAAGGAAATATAAAGAGTGTGCTTTCAGTTGAAATGGGCTTGAAGGAGCTTGCATCATTGAAGGTTTCCTTTTGAAGTATAAGATCAAATTTTGTTTCACTTTCATCCTTTATTCTTAGTGCTCTTCAGTAATTTTGGTTCTTCAAACCAGGCCACTTGCTTTTCAGTTGTGTTTATGATATTATAGTATTTATTTCTTGGAATTGTCGTTATACCTACTCACATGTTCTGTGGTTGCTCTTTCCAAGGTTGAGGATGCCATTGTGCTTGCATTGGCACAACAACGGCGTGCAAATGCTATTCAACTATCTGGTTCAGGTTTGTCTTATATATGCTGCTAATGTGCTTGGTGGCTGATACCTGCTTTAATTGATTAAGTCCCTCGCAGTTTCTGGTTTCTATTTGAAACCACTATTGGTTGCCCAGGTTTTATGAATATACGTCATCTCTTAAGTGAGGCACCAAAAAGCCATCATTATTCCATATAGACTTTTGTGTTGCATGGTTCAGATAATTCATGGATTCAGTTGTTCTTGACTGGGGTTGCCCTTTTGTCAGAATTGGTGTCCAAATCAGTAGCCTCTTGTCAGTCTCATTTTCATGTTGTGCATAATGTATTTTTATCATTTGAGCATGTTAACCAATCCCAAAACATTGGGATTATCGCTTTATTAACATGAATTCGGGGTTAGAGCCGGATTTCACTCTAGACAAACTAGTTTATTAAGAAACTTAGAATTCGGGGTGTTAACGCCCCAAAATCACCAAACGGCGTTGGAATAGCACGAAACTTGGCACACACGACCGCCTAAGAATGAGAGACTTATGGGAGAAGACGAGACTCAAATCAGGTTCCCAGTATGGCGGTTAGAGTCAAATTTCACTCTAAACAAACAAGTTTCTTAAGAAACTTAGAATTCGAGGTGTTAACGCCCCAAAATTACCAAACAGCATCGGCATAGCACGGAACTTGGCACACATGACCGCCTAGGCACGAGAGAATTTTGGGAGAATACGGGACTTGAATCGGGTTCCCGGTTTGGGAATTAGAGCCAGCTTTCACTCTAGGCAAACTAGTTTCTTAAGAAATTTAGAATTCGAGATGTTAACGCCACAAAATCACCAAACGGTGTCGGAGTAACATGAAACTTGGCACACATGACTGCCTAGGCACGAGAGATTTGTGGGAAAAGATGGGACTCGAATCGGGTTCCCAGTTTGGGAGTTAGAGTCGGATTTCACTTTAGACAAACTAGTTTCTTAAGAAACTTAGAATTCGAGGTGTTAATGCCCCCAAATTACCAAACGGCGTCGGAGTAGCACGAAACTTGGCACACACGACTGCCTAGGCACGAGAGACTTGTGGGAGAAGACGAAACTTTAATCGGATTCTCGGTTTGGGAGTTAGAGCCGGATTTCACTGTAGACAAACTAATTTCATAAGAAACTTAGAATTCGAAGTGTTGATGCCCCAAAATCGCCAAACGGCATCGGAGTAGTACGAAACTCGGCAAACACGACCGCCTGGGCACGAGAGACTTGGGGGAGAAGACGGGACTTGATTCGGATTTCCAGTTTGGGAGTTAGAGCCGGATTTCACTCTAGACAAACTAGTTGAAACTTAGAATTTGAGGTGTTGACGCCTCAAAATCACCAAACGGTGTCAGAGTAGTGCAAAACTTGGCACACACAACTGCCTAGGCACAAGAGACTTGTGGGAGAAGACGGGACTCGAATCGGATTCCCGACTTGAGTGTTAGAGCAGGATTTTACTCTAGACAAATTAGTTTCTTAAGAAACATAGAATTTGAGGTGTTAACGCCCCAAAATCACCAAACGGTGTTGGAGTAGCACGAAACTTGGCACACACAACCGCCTAGGCAAGAGAGACTTGTGGGAGAAGGCAAGACTTGATTCGGGTTCTCGGATTGGGAGTTAGAGCCGGATTTCACTCTAGAAAAACTAGTTGAAACTTAGAATTCGAGGTGTTGATGCCCTAACATCACCAAACGGTGTCGGAGTAGCATAAAACTTGGTACACATGACTACCTAAGCATAAGAGACTTATGGAAGAAGATGGGACTTGAATTGGATTTTCAATTTGGGAGTTAGAGCCGAATTTCACTCTAGACAAATTAGTTTCTTAAGAAACTTAGAATTCAAGGTATTAACGTCCCAAAATCACCAAACGGCATCGGAGTAGCACAAAACTTGGCACACAAGACCACCTAGGCACGAGAGACTTGTGGGAGATGACGGGACTCGAATTGGATTCCCGGATTGGGAGTTAGAGCCTGATTTCACTCTAGACAAATTAGTTTTTTAAGAAAGTTGGAATTTGAGGCGAACGGCGTCGGAGTAGCATGAAACTTGGCACACACGACCGCCTAGGCATGAGAGACTTGTGAGAGAAGACGGGATTCAAATCGGGTTCCTGGTTTTGGGAGTTAGAGCCGGATTTCACGCTAGGCAAACTAGTTCCTTAAGAAATTTAGAATTTGAGGTGTTGACGCCCCAAAATCACCAAACGACGTCGGATTAGCACAAAACTTGGCATACACGACCACCTAGGCACGAGAGACTTGTGGAAGAAGACGAGACTCGAATTGCATTCTCGGTTTGGGAGTTAGAGTCGGATTTCAGTCTAGGCAAAATTATTTACTTAATTATCTTTATAATTGTATAGTAGTTAAATTTTTATATTTTTTTGTAATTAACATATTAACACATAATTATATTGTCACTAATTATTTTTATTTTTTGTTTTTAGATATTTCCCGAGTAGGAGTTTGCTTCTTATGGAATGCATCCCTGTGAAAAATACGGCTAACTTTTGTTTTTGTTATCTACGGAGAATGATGAAGAAAACTTTTAATTTTAGTTTATGTTATTTTGAATTATGAAAAACTATATGTATTTAAACATTATACGTGTATTATGAAACATTATGAAGTGAGGTAATTTTGTTGATATGTAATTATAGATGCAAGAATGTTTTTGTCACGCCCTACTTTTTATTACTCGAAGTCGTTACCAAATCCATTAACTTAATTCAATTTCAAGGATAACATGCGGAAATAAACTCATACATTCAATCTGTAGAAGTGATTAACATTCTCTCATTCGTATGCAAAGTAAATATTACATGAACATACTTAATAAATTGCCCTTGGGCTTACAACACTGAAGGTACAAGAAGAAGGGTGTAACCCTTTCACAACAATGGCATTCCGCTAACATAACTGAGGCCCCGTGGCCAGTAATTAAGTAGATCCAAATCTTGCAGCCCAACCTGCTTAATACCTGAAAAGAATTCAACAACGTGGGATGAACATATAGTCCAGTAAGGAACTCAACATGATCCTCAACAATAACAACTTACAGATAGCTATGATCATGAACACCCATTCTCATACTAGAATAGTAATGTGACAATTTATACAAAAATAACATAAGTAAGAACATTTCTTGAAAACAACCATTTCAATCAACGCCATAGGCGATTCATCTTTCCTTTTCTTTTCATTAATCCCCGTTCCCACTCTTTCATAACATTAACAATACCTTAGGAAATAATTTCACTAAGCCCACCACACTCTTCCATTTTCCAAATATACACAGATATGCTTTTCAAAGTATATGTTTCTTTAAAAAGTCCGTTCTCCTTCACACTTTCCAAAAGACAAAGA